TAGCCTTCTAGAGTAGTTGATGGCTAAGGGAGACAATAACTTTTCCTTTTTGAAGAGCAGACAACTGTGTTTATTTCCATGGTGTCATTAATTATCTTTTGTTTTAATTCAATGTATATTGTTTTTTGTTTTTTCAAAATCTCATTAATTAGTTCATGCAGTAAAAATGTCTATTAACTAGGCATTCTACCACCTTGTGTTCATTTGTTATATATCAACTATAATGGCATTTAATTTTTGTTAATCATTCTATATTTTTGTATAATGATACTATTTTCTCTGCATCATGTTTTCTACTGCCTTGCTTCTGTACTGGAAGAACAACAAATGAAGTATAAAAGTTCAGTAGCATTTTACAGATATATATAGAGATATATACATATATTCCAGTTTGTTGTATTAGGGTGTGGAATGTGTTCAGAGGCATTTCTTGAAATGTCTTGAGATTAATGTATCTTCTACTATTCAAGTTCATCTTGTCACAAGGAAAAGTTAAGTCTGGTAGGTGGCGCTAGAGGGTATGAAGATAATGTTAAATGGAATCCTTTAATTCTGGGGGAGTGGGGGGAGGGAAGAAAACGTTGCTTTTAGGTTTGAGTACATTTAGAATCTTCAGACAATGGAACTGTGTGAATCATGCCCATCACAATTGAGTTGATTTATAAACGTATTGAATAAATGTGGAACAGAAGGTAAGGAAGGGTAGTTGTTTAATTAAAACAGCTGGTTTTAAGTACATTTCTGTTTGGATTATCAGTGGGCTTTTTTTTTTTTTTTTTTTCTCTTCAGTAGTCTGTAGCAATGACTGCAAAGTAATTCTTTTAATGTTTATGAATGAACTTTATTTTAACAAAAGAGAATTTCAGAGAAAAAAGTTTACATTTTTTGAACAGCAAAAAAAAAAAATAATTAAAAATTATATTCTTTTAACTAATTAATTAGGATCATGCAGGAGAATTTAATATGATGTCTTAGTGGAAACAATAAATGGTTATCTTCTTTTGTTTAACCCCTTTATTCCCCTTACTCCAAGCTTCCCTTCTCAAGAATATTAAAGCAGATTATTGAACTAAATATATATAATTATATGCAATATTGATTACTCAACCATTTAGATACTTCTACAGATGTCAGTTGTAATAAACTTATCAATGTTTCTTTTTATATTGAAAACACATTGCTTCTCCCTCTAAAGCACCACCTTCAAATCAACCAGCACATTTATATGGAACTGGCAATTAATGACGAATACTTTCAGCATTCTCTGTGTTCAGATGATATTATCTACTTTGTTTGTTTGTCAAGACTAAGTGCTATTTTTGATGTGTAGTGTATTTATCCAAACCACAGCATTCTTATCAATGTCAATGACATTTTTAATTCTCAGTTTAAATTTTTAAGAGAAATAAGTTTGGGAAAGATAGTTTAGAATTACATTACTAGAGCTAAGAAAACGATGTTTGGAAATAAATATAAGTAAGAGGTTTTATTTTCTATGACCTAATGTTTTGCACCCTGCATTAAGAAATAAACTTGAGATAATCATCAAATAGAAAAGAAATTAGTGATAAAGTTAATCAAGATCATCCCTTTTTTTTCTTGATTTTTAAAGATTGGCAGAAAATAGAATTTATTGCAAAACCTTATTTTTATTTTTTTTTTTCCTTTGACTTAGACTGGTTTACTCTGTTTTAAACACACAGTGTACTACGGTACAGTTAAACGTCTTTCTTAAGTGCCTATGTGTTTTGTTTTTTTATAGCAATGCTGCCTTGAACTAGTAATTTAATGGCATTAGATTTAATATTTGAAAGTAAATTGAATAATTACAAATGACTGTTCTGAAAATGTGTAGCATGATAGTTTGTTGTTGTTGTTTTCCATTGCTTTTTAATACTAAAGGTAAACAGCTAAAATTGCTTCAAAAGAATCTCTTTAACAAAGATATATTGTTCTTCCAAGTGTTTGTTTAAAAAGAAGGATGCATTTCAAATCTAGTTTTAGTCCTTTTATATACTTATGAAAATAATACAATATTTTGTTTGCCTTTACTTACCCAGGAATCTCTAGTATTCAATTCCCACTGTGTTCAACTCATTTTAGATTTTAGAATCTTTGTACATATGCACAGTTTAATGCTTAAATGGGTGCCAGATTAGTCCTTAACAGGAATAAATAATTTAAGGCTTTTTTTTTAAATGATTCAGCTATAAACATAAAATGTATAGCAGCAAAGATGATGATATAATTGCCTGTAGTCATGTAGTCAAGAGAGTACTGTCAAATCATGATTAATATTTCCAAGTTATAGCTGCTAGATATAAGCAGTACTTAAAAATAAAATAATGTTGTTTTTTTTTAAATTAGTTTGTTGGCTTTATTGGATTAAAGTAATTTCAAAGGTTTGGATTCTCAATATCAAAGCAAAACTTGAACAAAGTAAAATTTAAGTTTATGGTAATTAATTTATGATATATACGCATTTTGTAAAATACAGACTTGCTTGGTGTGTTGACATATTCTACTGTAGTGCAAGATTTTTAAAAAAGGGATGCAATGTCAATGCACTGTGATCAGTAACAATTTGGTTATAGTGGAACAGAAAGTAAACAATATTGACATTTGGAATCTGTCAGATCAAAATTTATTTGTGAATCTCTTTTTTTTTCAAATTGAGTACAATTCTTTTCTTTATGAATAACTGACAGGAGAAAGAGAGGTTAGCCTACATTTCATCTCCTGCTTTCTTTTTAAAGGAAATAGTTTTTATTATAGTAAATATCTAAGTTTACTAAATAATTTTTTAAAAAGATTTAAAAAATCAAAAAGCTTCACTTAATTGACCTTTCCATTTGAGAATGTGATGTCTGTATATATAAAAAAGCCCTACATTTTCTGTGCTCCTGATTTTTGGTTGATCCAAAATATTTTGTTTTAAATCTTCTTTAAGTACTAACACTGGTAGAAGACAAATATTTTTTTTTTAATTACCAGGAATGTGTAAATAAAAAAAAAGATATATATATACAACATGACTATCTTTAAAGAATAAATATTTGCAACACATGAAGGACAAATTGATGGAGCAAATTTGTTGTTTTTTTTTGCTAATGTTATCATTTAAAAATAAAAACAACTTTTTAAAATGCATTTGAAAAATAAACAATGTTTCAATACCATTCTGTGCCCTTTCTTGTTGACTTGAATCACAGTATTGTGTAGCTTTTGACTAAAGCATAAAATATGTGTTCATTTGGCAATGACCTTTTTTTTTTTTTGTTTTTTTTTGTTATATACTTAACAAGTTTATAACACTTTGTCCGTCTGCTTCGGACATGTTTTTTTGTTGTTTTTTTTTTTTTTGCTTTGTAAATATTTAAATGCACTCTTTGTTTTCAAACACAAAATAATAAGATTTTTAAATACCAATTTACAAAACACAAGTGATTGGTATGATGATTATAGATAGATATTTATACATAGTATGTTCAAGTTGGTGTGTATCATATTAACATATACAACTCCTGTACAAATTGGCTGTACTTAATCTTGATCAAATGACATCATCATTACATGCTGTGAATTTCATGTTGTTGATTTTTTTTTTTTTTATTCATGCTGGCATTTGCAACTTGCAGAAGGCAAAGAATCTACTGACTTTATTTATGGCTACATCTGAAAAACAACATACAGGATTAAACATTGACAATTGTGTCATTTTTGATGTAATCAAAACACAATGCACAAAAGTATTTCTTTGAAATATTTTAATGCCACCACCCCCACCCCCCACAACTAAAAAAATTTTTACAATTACTTTTATCAAATTTTTTTTTTTACATTATTGTACTTACTATTTAATCAAACTTGTTATTAATAATCACTGACCTATCTAGTATTTGGCCAAAACAATTCTTTAAACATCTGAATGATTTTCACTTTGCTAGTTTGTTATCAAGCGATTTCTGTGTGATGAACTATTGAAAAGTCCAGTTCTTTTTGAAATGCTGATTATAGTGTCCTTTATTAGGACTCTTCATTAGATCTCACCTTTTTTTATGTGTTGACGAGAGAATACAAAAAAAAAAACAAAAAAAAACACCTTAAAGGTCACTGAAAATAAAAATTACTAAATTATTTGCATTATACCAGAAAGCATTTTTACTGTTGCGTCCAATTATAAAATATTTTATTTTTACATAAAATATCAATAAATAAATCTATCTACTGCTTAGTAGGCCTATTATCTTTACTTTGTTAGATAAGGAATTTTAAAGGAAACTCAATTATTTTTCAAAGTAAATTATTTTTGAAACATGATTTTTGGATTATTGATTTAGTATTGAAAGAGGCAGATGTAATGGGTGTTGAGCACAATCTAGGTTTGATACATATTTATATGCATCTTGATTAAATCACGTTTTGACTTGTACATTACGTGGACATTGTTTAATGCTGTTCAGTTTTGTTTCAATTTCATATTTTTCTTTTCCTTTTGTGTTTTTGGTTGTAATTCCCACTCAAATACACAATCTGTCTGATGTTTCTATAATACACATTTAATGATCATTTCATCAGTCCCAAGAACATATTTTAATTTGTTTTCTAAAAGAAAGTTACATTCAAAATGTGTTTTCAGATGTCTGAAGTACTTTTTTTTTGTTCCATTAGTTTTATAGGAAAAGAAATCTATTAATTTGTTTGTTTTAATCTCCCTTTTTTTTTAAAATTTAATAATTGATTAAGTTAACATATTAATTAGTAATTATTTATTGATTGTGTATTTTTTTCAAATATGGGCGCCAATTAATTTTTTTCATTAGATGTGATGATCAATTACCTAGTTCATTATAGCTGCAGTAGACATGTTAGCATACACCATAATATTTTTCATCATATTTTATTTGTCCTTAAAACTTTTCCACAAAAATTGCATTTGATATCAAAATGTAACTTTTGTTACTGCTTAAAAATATTGCATAAAGTTGAATATATATCTCTTTTTTTTAAAAAAAAAAAAAGCTCCATTCCTTCTTTTTCATTTCAATGTCTGCCAGGCACTTGTTTCATCTGATTTTAAAAGAAACATGTCATGAAACAGAATCAGTATAAATAGTGTTATCTGTAACTATAGCAACAATGGTAATCACTAGTTGTTTTTATTTTATATAATTCAAAATGTGAATAATTTGTTTTTGTATTTCTAATGTCATTGCTTGAGAATGTATTGATGTCAAGTCATGCTGTTTGTGTTTCACAATTATGTTTGAATGACTTGGTGTCATTTTTCTTTTCTAACAATCATATCGCCCATTTCAGTTTCCACAGACCTTTGTTTTTCCAATTTGGTTGAAGAATGGTTGACATTGGTTGACATGTAGTTTGTTTGAGTAATGTGCCTTGATTTGAACAAAAAAAAAATAAACTTGTATACAAAGATCTTATTTCAGATGGGTTTGTTTGTATGTTATTTAGTATTTGGAACACCACCTCATCAGTCCTGTTAAATCTACTAAAACTACTAGAACACCCTCATCAAAAGCTGTAATACCAAAGTATCTCCTAGTAATAAAGCATAAAGCAACAAAACAGCTGACTTAAAAATCTTATTAGAAAGTGAGACGCCAGACCTAATTGCAGGAACAGAAACTTGGCTACATCCTGAAATTTATAACTCAGAAATTGTCAATAGCGATTATGAAAATTTAAGAAAAGATAGGACAGATAATCATGGAGAAGTTCTTTTAGCAATAAAAAAACAATCTTATAGCAGAAGAAATTACTGTACTTAACTTATAAATATAAATTCAACATTTTATAAAATTAACACTGCCTCAACATCCCTAATAATAGGCAGTATCTATAGGCAACCAAATTCTAGTTTAGAGTACATGCAAGAACTTTGCAATCAGATTACTATACTTAAAGGAACAAATAAAAATTCAGTTTTTCTGATTATGGGTGACTTCAACCTACCTGGTATAATTGAAAAATATTAACCGTAGACCAACACTAAAACCTTAAGGACATAAATGAGTTATCCATAGAAACTTTACAGTTAAGATCCAGTTATTAAAAAAACAAAACTAGATTAAACATCACATTAGATCTCTTCTTAACCAACAGACCTAGATTAGTGGTTGATTCGGATATTAACCCTGGACTATCTGACCATGATTATCATTAAAAAATACAGTAAAAAAAAAAAAAAAAAAGCAGTTACCAATATAAAACCCAAAAGAAAAATCTTACTCTGGAGCAAATGCAACCTAACACAACTACTATGATATAAACCAAACAGTTTATGACCTCTAGAATTTCATTCAAAACTATCTTAAAGACATTGTAGAAAATTATATACCATCTAAATACTTATTCAACAAAATAAATAAATACTGGTTTAATAATAAGTTAAAGAAACTTCCGAACAGAAGGAAACATATACAGGAAATTTAAAGAAACTCAGTCAGAAAGAGCAGACAGCTGCAGAGTGATTACATAAACAATGTAATATCTAAACAGAACAATAAAAACCTATGGTCTTACATTAATTCTAAGAAAATGAAAACAACAGGAGTAGCACCATTAAAAGGAGAAGATAACTTAAAAAATAATGAAAATAAAACTAAGGCTAACATCCTAAATAAATACTTTGCATCAGAATTCTCAGCCCCAGGAGACAAAGACAGATTAATTAATTTGAACATAAGTACAAGTCAAGGGGATCCAAAAACTATTAGCTATTAACATTAAACAGAATAAAGCATCTCTGGACCTGGTGGTACTCCGGCATGGGCGCTCACGAGGGGGTTGCAAGGTGGTGCACTTGTACTCCCCCCTGGATTCTGAGTAGCCAAATTCTAGCCATTTTTTTTTTGCACCATCGGATCAATTAAAATCTAAGTAGCGACTGAACAAGTTGTGCTTCCATTGGTGACCGAAGTACAGTTGCAGTCATAATCATCAAATTCCATTTGAGTGAGAGCTTGAGAGGCTCAAATCCTCTCTTGCAAAAGTCCTGGACAGAAACTCTGCTGTATTGCGTAGTGCATAAATGTCGCCATACAGGTCGAGAATTTCGAGACGGAGATCAGCAAGTCTGGGGCAGTCAAACAGAATATGAGTCACGGTTTCCTCTTCTTCCCCGCAGCGAGGACACCGTGAATCGAAATTTAGCCATAGCCGTGAGAAATATGAGCCAACAGGACTGTAAGGTCTTAAGTTTTTTTTATAATATAGAATATTATTATGTATTTATGTGTCTAGGTATTAAAAATAATATTATTTCAATGTGTGTGTGTGTGTTATAATTAAATTGATAAGTTATTATTAATTTTGTCCCAAGTTCAGCCCCACAGTCACACCACACACACACCCAGTTGTGCATAAACTAATAAACGAGGTGTATGATGATTTAAATAAAATTATGAATTTAATCTAGTGATATATTAACAATGACAATGAGATCTGATCAATGATAATGATAAGCACAATATACATACACATAATATGATGTGAAAATTCAATACTTGTAATATGATTACAATAAATCAAACAAACATATTCACCTTAAATTATAAGGTTCGGTAATATTGCCTTCAACAATATTTCAAGACAACAACTTCATGACAAGTTCATATATCTCCTATCCAAGAGATACTATTCATCCACAATAAACAAGCAAAAGTTCATAGTCACACCAAAACTCACAACTTCGAACTGTACCACCAGGTCTAGACACAGCAACCCGCAGTCTGGAATCTGGAACCTCAGACTCGTAAAAACAAACTTGAAACGTCAGATGAAAGCCTCAAAGTCCTGTAGAGCCTCGAGCTGAGCTCTCAATACTGAGACTGAGACCGAGACTGAGGCTGATACTAGGACTGAGACCCTATAGAAAGATAAATAACAAATTCTTCTAATCTTCTAATCTAATTATAAAAATACAAATACGATCGAATCCAATTAAAATTACGATACAAAAATGAAATAAAACTCACCCTAAACAGGGGTCAAGATAATTCTTTAAGAATATCAACCAAGGAACAACAATAAGGCTATCCGTTATCAGATCCAAGGAGAAATTCAAGAGCTCACAAAATACAACTTGGCCAGCACAAGATGGAGAGAATGAAACAGTCGATTAACTACGAAAGTCTTACTACGTAATCATTTTATGTCATAAGAAATTATGACGAAGTAGCAAGGGGAGATCATCTACTAACAATTGTGTTGCCAGTCACACCTATGTGACTAGGTACCCACTGCATTATTACAGGGGTGCCATAGCGTTGCTTTATGTTGTGTGAAGCCATGATGACAGTGTCGATATTGGGGGGCCATGGTCCAGGGCTTTGCAAAGCCTGTAGTACAGATTTTGAGTCAGTGACCACAAAAATCTGTGTTGCTCTCAAATGTCCCTCGCCGAGTTGAGAGTTAATGACTTTTAAGGCTTCACAGACTGCCATGGCCTCCGCATCAAAACTGCAAGCACTACCACATGGTCCAAAGATTTTGACTGAGTAAGAGCCAAGAAAGTCGATGTAGGCTCCATAGCCTGCTCTTCCAGAATCTATCGATGTCGACCCATCAGTATATGCAAAAATAGCACTGGGCTTAAAGGCATTAATAGTCTCCAGTGCTAGAATTTGAAGGTCGTTAGATGAACGACTTAGCTTAGTGGCATTAGGGTCAACTAATTTCAAGCGTATGTCTGGGGTCGTTGGGTGACATCAAGGGGGAAGGGGATGAAAACGTTAAATGTTTTGTCGGTTGGTGGAGAGGCCAGCTTCAGCAGATAGTCTAGTGGCATGATGCATAAAAGACTGCATCTGGGTACGTCTTCTGCATTTCCAACCATCCACTAGTTTTCTAGCTGGGAGGTATTCATCCAGCATTTACACCGCTCAAAGCAGGTCAGTACTGACCTTTTCCCTCCTAAGGTTTAGTGGACCTACATTAGCCATTATTTCAGCCGCATTTACTGGACTTGTCCTAAAGGTTCCACTGACAATTCTTAGTGTTTGGGACTGTATTTTATCAAGTTGTTCAAGAGCTGTCCTAGAGTCATAGATTTGCACAGGTAGGCTGTAGTCTGTGATCGGACTGCTCCTAAATACAGTGATTTGGCAATGTCAAAGAAACAGCTGACCTTAACATCATTATTATCGCTACGTAGATTTGTTCTAAAATAAGTTTTAAATCATAGAATGAAAGTCTAATGCTGCCCTCAAATTCAACTTATTTAGCGCCTTACAAACCGGAAAAACTGAGAAAATTCTATAGTTCTTAAAAGTGCACAAAATTATTACCTTTTGAAAAAAAAAAATCAACACATATTTTCTTTTGTACACAGATACACCAAAAAGATTGCTATTTATAGTTTTTTCGCTATGTATAAAAATCTCAAATAAAGCTGTCTGTTATATTCGGGCATTTTGGGGCCGTGTTAGGCCGATTTGTACTCAAACATGTTCTCGTAGAAACAATTTGATTCAATGTTTCAATCCAATCACTGTATTGAGATTTTAAAACATAACAGATTTTATGATTGACATCTAGACCTACAAATTAAACTCATTAACATCTCCACCATATATAGATTGTAAGGGTTGCGTTTTAAGTGTACTTTTTTATTATTAAATGTAAAAAATAAATATTAAAGAAATGATTTTCGTAGGGAAAAGAAGGAAAATGATATTGTTTCTGTAGCTGGAGAGACAATTGAAATTGTGCAAACATTTAAATATCTTGATACTATCCTAGACAATAAACTAAATTGTACTACAAATACTGATTATATCAGCAAAAAAGGGCAGCAAAGATTACGATTACTAGGAAAACTGTCCTAGTTTAATGTTAGCGAAAAGGCCTTGGCTATGTTTTATCACGCTCATATCTGCAATATTTTAAGTTTCAATATCACTGCCTGGTATGGCAATCTGAGCATTAAAAATAAAAATAAACTTTATGGAATCCTAAATGCTGCTGGTAAAATCATTGGCAAAAAACAAACCACATTTGGGCAGTTGTTTGAGACAAACATCTATAAAAAAGCAGACAAGATCCTCGAAATAAAGAATCATCGTTTGTGTCAGGATTTTGTGATTTTACCATCACAAAAGAGATACTAGACACCGATAGCAAAGACAGACACAAACACTCTTTTGTTCCCCTGGCAATCAAATCAAAAATAAGAACAATCTGGTATAAACTTTGTCACATGTAAATTATGAGTGAGTCTGGTGTGAATGTACACTTTGGTTTCTTATAGCTATAATGTTTTGGTTTGGTTTGTTTGCACACATTGTAAGACAAATTTCCATACGGACAATAAAGATTATTATTATTATTATTATTATAAAAGTTTTTAATTTCATATACCAAATATTTTTTGTACACAGAATCTTATCGCATAAATCAGTGGCGTAACTAGGGTGGGGGAG